ACAACCTTCAGAACACGGCCAAAGAGCCCAAAAAACCCACAACAACCATTAGATCCCGGCCGTGAAAGTCTTCGCAAATACATTATACTGATAGTGTTTGGCAGCAATAAATTCTGGCTATGATTCTAATCGTCGTGTAAAAATCTTATTTTATTTTGTCTGTTTTGTGTTCAGTGTGACAGTTTTATTAATCATGGCTTCTACTGTTTTTTGAAGTGGTGGGGAACGATCTGTTTTCTCCGCAGTAATTTCTTATTCTTCTGCAATTTTTTTCTTATTTAGATCTATATCTCTTGATTACTTCTTGCATTATCAATAAAATATTACAATATTTTACAATAAAACATTTTAAGTGCAAAACAGAGCTAAATTAGTATCCAAAGAATATTAAAGTATGAAAAGTTAGAATGTCTAGGAAAAAAATAATAATACAAAGTCTTCACCTGGTGCTGGAAGGACATCGGGAGAGGAGCCAGATGAACCCTTTAGGGGAAGAATATTCTAAAGTGAGGGCAACACCATTGAAAAGATGTTTGGGTGGGTAGTTATCTGCTGCGTCTGAGATGGCAGAAAACCTATAGAGAAGGACCTCTGATAAGCTTGTTAAAGGATTCCTGCCTATAGAGACAGGTAATTATACATTCATTCTTTAGGGACCAGGACATTTGTTTTGCTTGTTTGTTTTGTATCATTTGTAGGCCACCTTTCTTCCAATCAGGGGACTCAAGGTGCCACCTAGAGTGGTCTTAAGTGACTAGATAGGCAGGATATAAAATAAATAAATAAATAAATAAGGTGGCTCCCAAAGTGAAAACAATGAATTAAAGCCTTTTCCTTCCTTCCTTTCTTTATAGTTACAAATCACAGGATTTATAGAGGATGGCAAGATGGAACCTTGGGATAGAACCCAGTAGACATGATGGAATCATGGCTCTTGTTTCTTGAGATGCTGCTGTTTCTAGAGACTCCCAAAGTTAACAATTAGGGAACAAGCTCCCACTTGCCCATGCACACACATTAGGTTCCTGAGCTCAACCAGATCTAATATCCAGAGTTAAACCCTGACAACACCAAACAGAAGAAAAATCCTCTACCATTCCCTTTCACAAGAGCCAATAAAACCAGTATATTCCCTATCTATCCTCAACTAAGGAAAGGTAGATTATACAAGCAGCTATGTACTATGTGAGAATTAGGAAATCACAGTAATGATGTCTGGGTATATTTCAGCTAATTCGCTTAACTACGTGTGGGGGGAAAATACTGAATTTGTACTTCTCCATAACCATTTTGCATCTGCTTAGAGTGGCAACAGGCTAGAGCACTTTTTGCCTCAAACAGCCATGAATTTCAGAGGCTTGTGATGTGTTGCTGTAAACAAATGTTGTACACCAAATACTACATGAATTTCTGCACTGGAGTGGGGAAAAAATAAATTCGATTCTAATAAAGGACAGGACAAAAATGGTGGTAGGATTTTGTGGTATAACCAGAATGTTTTTAGGTATGAAGTAGGCTTTGCCATGTTCAGTAGGATTTACTTCCAGGAAAGTGGGCACAGGAGCTCAGCCTTGGGCAATAAGGAAAACCAACATATGATAATATATTTCTTACTGCATCATTTTAATTACATTCCACACAAAGATTACGACAGTTTGTAATATTTTATGCTACTGACACAGATTTTGAAGTTTTGGTTTTCAACTTATTTTTTGCTTATGGATAATTCATAAGCCAACACATTCTGCAAAGTGTTAAATGTGTTACACTTTCATTTGTGACAGGTAAATCCTAGCACCTGTTTGAAAGTCTCTACTCACTCACCACTCCAAATTTTTGGCACTGTTGCAGTCCAGTCTAAAGGTAGACTGCATAGCAAAATTTGATAAGTGCAGATAAGCTTAGGGCAAATCCAGTTTATTCATGCATAAGTATAATTGAAGCATGAGATCATGACAGTCCCAGAAAATTGGCAGATCTCTGCCCATTCAAGGT